TTCCATTGTGTAAATATACCACTGTTTTTTAATCCATTCATCTGCTGATGGGCACTTCGGCTGTTTCTAAATCTTAAGCTACTGTAAATTGTGCTACTATGAATATAGGGGTGCATATATCCTTTCTAATTGGTGTTTCTGTTTTCTTGGGATATATACCCTGAGTCCCCAGTCCTGGTTCCTGCCCTCACAGCTCCAGTGCACTTCACCCTTCCTTTGCAGGAACACAAGGTGGGTGGCTCCACAGGGAATTTTATGAACTGCCCCCTTAAGAAGGTGCTGAAATTTTCAGCCACCTCCCCCTGGAAAACAGTGCCTTGCTGTTTTTCACAGCCATATGATATGTGGGTACCCACCTCAGTTCTCTGAGTGAGCCCAGCTTGGGGATTAGATCCCAGAGTTCTCAGTGGTAAACCCCCACAGCTGGGACTTCAATTGCTGTCTGTGGGTTCCCTGCCAGCCCTTTCACACCTATGCCCCTCCTACCAGTCTCTATGTGATCTCTGCTTTCAGTCCTTAGGTATCAGGGTTCTCTGCTGCAAGTTTTCTTTGATTATTCTGGAAGTTTTTCTGTATTTTAGTTGTGATATCAGTTTGCTCCTGGAAGCATGTTTGTGCAGCATCCACTTACTCTGTCACCATTTTTAATCTCCAACAGTGTGGTCTTGACCCATGTTTATTCTTTATGCCTGTGTCCCTTCTTCCTTTTCTATTTATTCTTTTTTCAACAGTCCCTTTAGCATGCATTGCTTGACTGACTTGGTAGTGATAAACTCTCTTAGCCTTTTTTTTTTTTTTTTTGTCTGCAAAGCTCCTGATTTCCCCTTCAATTGTTAATGATACTGTTGCTGGATAGAATATTCTTATATTCAGTCCCTTGGTTTTCCTCAAAATTGTATACTTCATTCCATTCCCTTCAGGCCTGATGTGTTTCTGTTGAGAAATCATTTGATAATCTAATGGGAGATCCCTTGTAGACTTTAAGATTCTCTGTCATTAATGTTTGCCATTATCATTACAATGTGTCTTTGGTTTCATCTTGTATAGGACTCTCTGTGCTTGTGTTACTTTTTTTCTTCCCCAAATTAGGGAAGTTTTCTGTCATTATTTCTTCAAATAGGTTTTCTAATCCTTGCTCATCTCCTTGTCCTTTTGGTACCCCTAGTATATTTATGTTAATTCATTTCATGTTGTCCCAAAGCCCCCTTAGGCTCTCCTCCTGATTTTTAATATTTTCTCCAATTGCTGTTCAGATTGGGTGTATTTTTATGCCCTGTCTTCTAACTCCCTAATTCAGTTCCCTTGTGTTTTGTTTTGTTTTTATTGTAGCCATATCATTCTTCATTTTCTCTTGATTCTTACATAGGTTGTTTGCTTTCTCATCCAGCTGGTTTACGAATTGTATGACCCTTACTCTGAATTATTTTTCTGTAATATTGCATGCTGCCATTTCATTTAATTCATGTTCTAGCTATTCCTCCTTTTTTTTCCTTTGGGGGTTGTTTCTTTTTCTCCCCATTTTTGCTCTCACTGAGGAGTCCATGTACCGAGTCATGTGGGGCCTGTTTCTGAAGCAGTGGGATTGGCGGGAGAGTTTCACATTGCAAGACTCACCAGAGTGCCCTGGCATTGGATAGCTGGGTAGGGTCTGTGGCTGAGTGGTGGGCTTGGCAGGAAGGGGGGACACTTCATGGCTCACAGGATCCTGTGACTGGGGAGACCGGAGTCCCAGTATCTGTGGGTCTGAAGATGAGGTAACAAGGCTTTGGCTGGAGAGGCTGTAGGGACCTGTATAGTGTCTGATGCCAGTCTAGGTGGTGGTAAGGCTGGGGTCCTAGTCACAACAGCTCTCCCCTTCAAGATGGTGTCATTTCTTTTCTTTTTTTTTAAATATATTTTTATTGATTTTTTACAAACAAGAAGGGAGAGAGATAGAGAGCTAGAAACATCAATGAGAGAGAAACATCGACTAGCTGCCTCTTGCATACCCCCTACCTGGAATGTGCCCACAACCAACGTACATGCCCTTGACCGGAATCGAACCCGGGACCTTTCAGTCTGCAGACTGACGCTCTACCACTAAGCCAAACCAGTTTCGGCAGATGGTGTCATTTCTGTGCTAAAGCTAGCCACCCCAGGAGTGCTTGCAGGGGTAGCAGTGGCCCCTGTCTATTATAACCTGGTCTATAAGCACCCGAGACTTCAGCAGGATCTAACTGTCCCTCACTCTCGCATACACATTACACACATCCACACTCTCCCCTTTTGTTCCCTACCTCTTTATCTTCCTCCATCATTCACACTCTTTCCCTCACTGCCATCCTGCCAGCTGCCATCTTGACTCTCCCATCTATAATACTTTCAACAATAAAGATCAAAATTTTTAAAAAGTGTAGGTCCTCAGGTCCTCAGAGCATAGGGCAGAGATGCTTCACAGAGCCAAGTGGTATTTCATGACTTCACATCTGGTCCCATGAAACTCTGGGTTTTATTGTAACAAATAGGGCCTCAGGGATGCAGAGGGAGGACCCAGAGCCTGCCAGAGTTAAGATGAGGAACTGGATGGAGGACTGAGTGGATCCAGGAACCCCAACTAGAGGCCCACAAAAGCATGCTCTTGCTTTATCCCTGGTAGACACCATGAATGCTTTACGTGAATAGTGTTCACTTGCTTTTACCTGGGTAGTCTGAGAGAGGTGAGGGCCACATTAGGGAGGCTGGCTATAGGCCCATAGAAGAAAGAGGCCCAATCTTGCACATAATCAAGTTATTACCGTTTAGGGGATAGGAGGGTTCCCACAGAATCCAGATTTGCCTCTGCTGTCAGCACCCTGAGTCCTGGAGGCTGGGTTGTCTGGCTGAGTACTATTTCCTAGGAACCACAGCCCCCACCACTTCAGAGAACTCTAGAGTCAAGGACAGGTCAGAAAGCAGCAAGTTGAGGTTTGTAGAGTCATAGTCCAAACTATACCTGGAAACAAAGTGAATATGAGAGGAAGGGTTAAACACTCTAAGGAATTTTTTCAGTCCCCTGATGGGAGCCTGGCTCTATCCCCTGGCTTTGTGGCCTGATGCAATATCCCCAGACTTCACTTGGGATATATGAGAGACCTTGATCTGTAAGGACCTGGGTCTAAGAAAAATGTGAGGTCAAGGGAGAGAAGTATTTCATGATCTCCCAGATGATAATGTGCTGACCCTTTGTGAAACCTTAATGTGCACAGTCTTTTCAGAAAGGGAAGAATGACAAAGTCCAAATTTCCTCTGTTCTCAGACCTAAAAGAAACATGTTGGCTTTAAGTGGCATGCTCTTTTCTATCATGGGCAGTAAAGTGGGGAGTCATCAAAGAGGAGAGGTTTTGGTAAGAAAGATCAAGAGTTCCAAGAGGAGGACCTGGAAGAAGGGCAGGTCCTGGCAGGAGTAAAAGTGAATACTCTACAGGGGCACTGGGGAACCTAAACAGGATAAAGAGCCCTGTCTCTGTTCCCAGACTTTTGTGATGTTGACAGGGGTTGGAGTGATTTGGGGCACAGATATGAAGCTTCTTCACTTTGCTCTGTAGTCTTTTATGGAGGTGAGGACCTTGTTCTGAGAGTACATCAGGTCTTTTGAGGAAGTTCTCATGTTCAACTGAGAGCCGAGTCCTACATCCTGCCAAGAGTCAAGGTGAAGTCCCTAAAGGTGGAGGGAGTGTAGCCCAATCTCCAGAATGAAATGGGGTTCCCTAAAAAAAAAATCTTGTCTTTGCCTATTGTCAGCCCTAGAGACCTTGTGCAGGGCTTTCAGGCTGGGCCTCTTTCCATTTTCACCTCCATGGACCCAAAAAGGCTAGGGCCTTTGTCTGATGATCTGGACTCAGGCTAGGTGATGCAGGAAGCCAGGCCGCAGCAGAGGCCATGGTGAGGACTGAGGGAACCCTTCACACCAGGACATGTGGAACCCATAGGTTGTGGCCACATATTCTTGTCCCTTGACAAAAATTATAAAGAGAGGGAACCCAAGGACCTTGCTGGCATGGTTCAGTGGTTAGAGGATCAGCCTGCCCACCAGAAGGTTTAATATATACAGGTGCTTCCAAATATGAGGACCTCTCATTTCTCAAGTTTCAGGGATATGTTTTCTTGTAAGAGTGTGATCTCAGGAAATCAGGGGCTGGTGTGGGAGAAGCCGGCCCTGAGTGGGCACAGGAGGATCCTTCCCCCATAAATAGACTTTATACCATCCCACCCTACAGGACCACTGTCAGACCCAATATCTCCAAATGTGCTAGCTTCACCCTGAAAAATCTTTTTACTTCCACCTTCAGGATCTTAGGGGAAAGGTTGCCCAGGAGGAGAGACCCCTGTGAGATCTAAGAGCACCCTTATAGAATAGCCCTAAAAGTCTCCATTTTCAGAGCCACTGAGAGTATGTTTCTCAGCTAGGATATTCACATTGCCCCTCTTCTTTTTTCATCCTCATAGGCGTGGTGATACTTTCCACAATTGATTTTAGAGAGTGGAAGAGAATGGGTAGAGAAAGAGAGAGAAACATCAATGTGAGAGAGACACATCGATTGGTTGTCTCCCACAAGCACCCGAGCCTGGGGCAAGAATTGAATCTGCAACCCCATATATGTGTCCTTGAGTAGGAATTAAACCCTCTGGTAGGCAGGCTGATCCTCTAACCACTGAACCATGCCAGCAAGGTCCTCAGGTTCCCTCTCTTTATCCAGTTAGGTGTTCTCCATGGCCCATCTCCTGCCCATAGTCTGGTTGATATCCAACATGAGTCATCATGAACTCTTGGTTAGAAAGTGAGCTCTAATCTCAAGGAAGACTCAAGGAAGAATCAAAGCCTGTTTGAGGTGCAGCTGTTTGGGGATAAGGACTTGGTCATGTCTGCCTCCTTATCTTTGTCCCTCTCTGCCTTGTTCCCACACAGCCTAGAGCAGGTTTGTGCTGCTGAGACACCAAGTCCTCCCCAGAGCCCTCTGGGTTCCTGACTCTGTGCCCCTGCCATGGCAGCCCCTCCTTGTAGCCAATCTGAAGATGAGGGCTTCAGCAGCCAAGATGAACAGGAGACAAGCAGCAGAGAGGACTCTGGAGATGCTAAGTCGGCGCTTCATGATGCCATATATTTGAAGATGACTGAACTGGTGGAGTTTCTACTCCTGAAGTATCGTGCAAAGCAGCCAACTACTAAGGCAGAAATGCTGAGTAGAGTCATAAAAAACTATCAGGACCACTTCCCTGTGATCTTCAGCCTAGCCTCTGAGTGCATGCAGTTCCTCTTTGGCATTGATGTGAAGGAAGTGGACCACATCAACCTTACCTATGTCCTGGTCACCACTTTGGGGCTTACATATGATGGGATGGTGTCCCATGGGCAGTCCATGCCCAACACTGGCCTCCTGGTCATGCTCCTGAGATTGATCCTTGCAGAGGGTGACTGTGCCCCTGAGGAAAATGTTTGGGAAACACTGAATATCATGGGTGTGCGTGATGGGAAAGAGCATTGGATCTATGGGGAGCCCAGGGAGCTCCTCACCAAAGTTTGGGTGCAGGAAAAGTATGTAGAGTACCGGCAGGTGCCCAACAGTGATCCTGCACGCTATGAGTTCCTGTGGGGTCCTAGGGCTCACGCTGAGACCACCAAGTTGAAAGTCCTCAAGTTTTTTCTCAGAGATTATAGAAGGAATCCCGGTTCTGTCCCATCCCTATTTCAAGAGGCTCTGAGTGATGAGGAAGATGATGCCTAAGCCAAGTTTCCCCAAGGCATATTTCATACCCACATCTGACATGATGTGAGGCCAATTCTTCACTGTGTTTAAGAGGATAGTCAACATTCTAAGTAGTGAGGCCCAGGGAAAGTTGGAGGAATAAGGTTTTAGTAAATTTGGATTTAGAAATTTATCCTCATTTTGTGTAGACATTTTCAAATGTTGTTCCTTTCCATCAAAGGTTTCATAAGCTTCAGTATCTGTTTGTGAATGGCATTGACCGTACATGTATTTGTACTATCCAGTTCAAGAGTTTTGCTATTGTGTAACGCAAATTGAGACACTTTCCATCCTACTCTGTGATCCCAAACTAGATAATATGGCATTGGAAAAGGATTTCCTTAGAAATGTGAAAGAACTCATCAGTACATTCAGTGGGTTCAAAAAATAAAAATAAAACAAAAGGTTATTAATTATTGCTTCTGATCCCTTTTTGAATGTCTTTCTATGAAACAAACTGTATAATGATCATTGGATTTTCTTGGTTCATTCAAGAAAGTGAAGGGATTTCATCTGAATAAAGATGGCCCCTGCTCAATGGTTCATTTAATCCCCAGACATTTACCAAGCCTATGTCCTCTGGAAGGTCCTGTGTCAGTAGTGGGCACAACCACCCGCAGGATGATAGTTTAGGATCCACAGTGATATGAGGAAGGTGGTGAAGTGTCCCCTAAGTTCTATAGAACAAATAAAAGAAGGGGATGGGCAGTGGGGTTCCAGGGGACAGCACTCAAGTATAAATGGCCTGAGCTGGGTGGTGGCAGTGGCTAGGCTCTGCAGATGGTGTATCTTGGATGTAAAAGTCTGAAATGGAGAATTTCCTTCTGAATCATGTATAAACCAGAGAGAAAAATCCACCCCAATCAGGAAGAGAAGGGTGTCTGTCCTGTGCCTCTGTCTCATTGCAGGAGAACTCAGTGAAGAGAAAGCTGTTTTATCCCCATTACCTACAAGGACTTCCAGAGGAATAAGGGTATTGCTCCTTGAAGCAATGCCCCTAAGTTACTGGACATGCACTCTTCTCCCTGGCTGGGGAATGCCAGGCCTGACTCCATTGAATTGAAAATGTATTACAGTTACCTTCAGTTTACCTTTGCCAACTGTAAACAAATGCTGGATATTAATGAAATGACATTAGGAAAATAGGTAGTTTTAATGGAAGGTAGCTTCAAAGAGGAAAGGAGTTGGTACTGGACTGGAATTCTAGGGGCTTTGTGTCGATTGCACTCTGTTGTTGAGAGTCCACACCCAAAAAGAATTGTCTAACCACTGTAAATAAAATATACACCAGTTTCCTTCTTCATGTACATTCAGAAATGTGGGAGGCAGCAGAGATTCACAGATGGATATTGTGATCTTGCACAGGAAGAAAGGAAAAAATCCACAGCCTTATGAGATTTCAGGGAGTATTGCTATGGAAAGTGCAGAAAGGTCCTCTGGAATGAAGGGGGTGAGCTGTGTCTGCTGAGAAGTGTAGAATGGTTTGAAAATTCATGTGATGGTGGATTTGAAGCACCTTTCATACAGCAGGGAGGCACTGGAAAAGGGTGGAGAATTTCAAGAGAAATGTGACTTTCTGAGAAAGTCTTCCCAGAAATGAAGGTTTTTTTTTTTTTTTCTTCACTACAGATTATAGCAGCTGTATTTCAGATCTTCTACCATGCAACTGTCGACTGGGAGATGTCAAGTGTTCATCCTCACCTTGTCTTCCTCTTTTCTGAATGAATGGGGACCCTGCATTGCCAGGCCTCTTGTACTTAGCAAGGGTTGTGTGATGACCCTTTGCCACTGAATGTTGATCAGCAGTGTTGTTTGTCACAACCATTGCTACAGAAGGTGGCACAGGGTCCGTGGATTCATTCTCAAGCCATGAGAATGAAGACACAGAGCGCTGTGCTAGCTCACCCAGGGACTTAAGCCATGCACATTTTCCCTTGAGAAGTGAGATGCCAGATTGTGTTCTTCTTAGGCCCTGGACAGGGATGTGGGTGCTCAAAAAAGGAGCCGGCCCACTGGAAGCTAGCTACAGGAATTCTTTCATTCCTCCTGCATCCCTAGGCTCTGAGCCACTCCAATCTACCCCTCATTGTTGTGACAAGTGGTGGTAAGGAAGCCAAAAGCCAACTGGCCCTGTTGGCATGGTGGTGTCCTCCTTCTGGGGCCCTGATCATTGCCCCCATCGCCACTGCTGCTCATTCTCTCTCCACTCTGGCCCCAGTATGCACATCTTGGTTTTACTTTGCCTGTGTCCCCACAGACAACCACCCAGTTCCCAGTAATGATGTTCATATGCAGTTATCTTTACATGATGGCCCCTAGAAGAATATCCCCTTTCAGCCAGTGTGGTTCAGGCAGAGCTGCTAGGATGTGAGGAATCAACCTGGTGAGTGCCCTAGTGATTGATAAATAATAATCACTGTCATGTGACCGTGTGACTAATCACTGTGACTGCAAGTTATTTTCTATATATGTAAAAGTCTAATATGCTAAGCTAAGTGTCCATCCAACTGGTTTTATGATACACACTGACCACTAGGAAACATACACTCAATGCAGGAGCTGCTGTGATGCACACTGGCCACTTACAGAGAAATGGCACCACAGACCTGCCTCCCACAAAGCAACACTCAGCTTCCCCCGTGTGGGACACAGGTCCTACCACCACCCCAGAGCAAAAGCCCACCAAATTGCAGCCAACACTGCTGAGACCCCATGGTGCAAAATGTGGTCCATAGCTTAGCCCAGCCCAGCCAGAAAACAGTGGCTGTGGGCACTGGGTAATGACATCACATAGCAACACCCGGCTTCCTCTCCATAGCGATGACTAGCCTTCTTTCAGTTTCTTCAGCCCAGGAACACAACATGCTTTATAGCCAGGTGCAAACATTTCACATTTTAACCAAATGTCTGTGAAGCATTTTCCTGTGCCTCACCTCATTTGATCTTCACAGAAGTCCTGGAGTAGGTAGATAGGAGACTGGGTGGAATCCTATTTTCTTTTCATTAGCCAGAAAATGGAGATTTAGTAAGCTTAGAGACTGACCCAAGTGAAAAGAAGTAAGAAATGGTGGATCTTGGAAATGACTTCAGGTTTTATCACTGTGAAGAATTTAGACACATACTGCTTCAGTTAAATATTTTACTCTTTGGTGCCTGGACCTGCCGGCCTTCTGCCTCCTTGGGAACCAATGGGCTTCAGATTCATGTTGTAGTTAATGGGAGTAGTCTCCCAGCTTGCCCTGCTCACCTATAGGGAAGTTACTGCTGCTACAAAACATCAATAGGATACCAACTTCCAGGCGAACAGTCTCACTAGAGAGCCCTGAGTTCTGGAGCCAACAAAGTTGGGTGTCTCCTGTCACTGCTACTTCTCAGCTCTATGACTTGGCAAGTGACCTCCCACTTGTAAGCTCGGGAAGCCCTGCAACAGCATTATTGAAGGAACAGAGCCCATGCCTTTGCTGTTCCCTGGAGTCAATGCAGGAGAGAGAGCTACATAACCAGACACCTTGAGAGGAGCAATCATGGGAAAACAAAGAAACAGCCCACATATGAAAGAAAAGAGGCATCATCAGAAAAGGAAGTAAACAAAATGGAGGCAAGCAATATTTCAGAGAAAGAGTTCAGGGAAATGGTCATAAGGTTGCTGAAAAGGTTAGAAGACAAATTCAACAATATGTGTAAGAACCAAGAGGAAATGAAAAAGAACCAAGAAAAAATGAAAAATGATATCACTGCAATAAAGAACTAAATAGAAAGCATCAAAATTATACTGGAAGAAGTGGAGGACCACATCAGTGAGCTAAAAAACAAGGTAGGAAAAAATACACAAGCAGAGAAGCATCTAGAAGAAAAAAAAAGTTTAAAAACAGGAGGAGAGCCTAAAGGAACTTTGGGACAATATGAAACAAAACAGCATCCATATAATAGGTGCCCCAGAAGGATAGGAAACTGAACAAGGAATAGAAAACCTGTTTGAAGAAATAATGACAGAAAGCTTCCCTGATATAGGGGGGGAAAAACTCATGCAAGTCCAAGAAGCTCACAGAGTCCCAAACAAAATGAACCCCAAAAGTCTGAGGCCAAGGCACATTATAATTAAATTGGCAAACACCAATGACAAAGTAAGAATCTTCCTCTAACTGGTTTGACTCAGTGGATAGAGTGCCAGCCTGCAGACTCAAGGGGCCCAGGTTCAATTCCAGTTAAGGGCATATATCTTGGTTGCAGGCACATCCCCAGTAAGGGGTATGCAAGAGGCAGCATATCAATGTTTTGCTTTCATCAATGTTTCTAACTTTCTATCCCTCTCCTTTGCTCTCTGTAAAAAATCAATAATATATATATATATATATATATATATATATATATATATATATTTTTTTTTTTTTTTAAAGAATCTTTAAAAGTGGCTATAGAAACAGAAAGTTACCTACAAAGGATCCCCCCTCAGACTAGTGACTGATTTCTCAACAGAAACAGATCAGGCCAGAAGGGAACAAACTCTCCAAAAATTCATCTGGAATTTAAAAAAAAAAAAGACTCCAAATAGCCACAGGTACCCTAGAAAGAAGAACAAAGTTGGAGGGATCACAATACCAGACTTTAAGCTATATTATCAAGCCATGGTTCTCAAAACTGTCTGGTACTGGCACAAGAGCAGACTTATAGACCAATGGAACAAAATAGAGAACCCAGAAATTGACCCAAGCCATTATTCTCAATTAATATTTGACAAAGGAGGCAAGAGCATACAATGGAGTCAAACAGTCTCTTTAATAAACGGTGCTAGGAAATTTGGTCAGATACATACAAAAAACTTAAACTAGATCACCAACTTACACCATACACAAAAACAAACTTAAAATGGCTAAAGGACTGGTATGTAAGATGGGAAACCATACAAGTCCTACAAGACTCTGTAGGCAGCAAAATTGCAAACATATGTTGTAGAAATATCATTACAGATACAGCTTCTA